TTTATGAAGTTAGTTTCAAGTTTCTAGTTTCTATCGGGGATAGTGGATAACTGAATACAAAATCTCAGACAGCTAATAATTTTGAGTTTAATCATTAAACTAAAATAGCTATTACCACATATATCACCTCCATACATTTTTCTAGGCATTAACCTATTTTTTTAGATTTTTTAGAATTTTTTTACATTTATTGACTGCATCGTCACGATGCACCCGCATCCGGGCCGCATCAAGCCGCATCGGCTCCCCCACAGCTTTTGGCCGTATCCCACATTTTAAAACACTAATATCTCTTGATTCACATCAATAAGTTATTGTTTGGCATTGTATGATTTGATCAAGGCTAATGAATGTACATTCCCATAATAGGCTCCCCATATTCCAAAAAGGTGGGGAAATCAATATCATAAGAGTTTACCATTCTTCCCCAAAACCTTGAGATGTTAGTTACTAGACCTAAGGGGCAAAGGAAACACAAGAGGCGAGAGCAGCCAAATCCTCGACCTTTCATCTCAGCAGCCGAATCCTCAACCTGCCAATCACCATCATCAACCATCTACTGATCCATCGACACCCAGTACTGAGAAGATCGAAATTTCACTCTTATCTATTTCATGCCTCACAGAGGCTGTGGCCCTTAATAGAGCATAATGCTAGATTAGGATTCGTGTAGCCGACCCCAATTAGTTGCGAAAAGGCTCTAATGATGATGATAATATATTGCTACATCAATTGGAGAAAAATCACAAGAAATTCGAAATCCTCTCCAAGCAAGAAACAAAAGCCCCAAATTGTGTTATTGAGTAATTTTACATGGACACTGGCACAGGTGTCATGTCTACTATGTATCTCAAGTGTTTGGTACTTTGGCATAAGAACTGAGTATGACCCTGGCATGTCCGTACAATCTTGTACATATAAATATACTAATACATCTATCATAAAGCAAAATTTTAAAAATAATAAATAAAAATTAAAAATAAAATAATACATACATTTTTTAGTCCAAGTGTCTAAGCGTGTCGACACGTGTCAAAGTGTCGACACATGCCAACATAAGACACAAGAGAGAAAGTCAAGTGTTGGGGCAACACTAATAAAGTCAAGTTTCAAGGTAACAATGATTTTGAGGAGGTATCTCCAAAAACCAGAGATTCGGTAGTCTTGATGTTTGAAATTTGGTGTGTGAAATTTCAGCACAAATACAAAATCAAGATTGGCTTTCAAAAGGAGTGACAATCTCTCACCTCTTAGCTTTCTCTCTCTAAAAGTTTCTTCTCTGTTATTTGAATCCGTGGAACCTATTTTTACCCATTCGAAGTTCTCTTTATCGGTTCCTTCTTCATATTCACAGACCGATAAATTATCATTACTTGCGAAGACGATAGCAATCTATTTCCCCCTTCTCCTTTATCACTCATGGAATCATCAAATGTGGTTGCTCCCCGATCCATTAAAACCAAACCACTGAGACCATCTTCAATGGAAAACCAGTTTATTTTAGTTATGCACAGCCAAAATATTGATGGATTTCTTGATGGGTTTAGGTTGTCCTCCACAGTATCTTCAGAAAAATCAACTGGAAAAAAAAAACAACTAAGAGGCTTCTCAACTTATCTAGAATATGAAACTAAACAAGCCAAGGTTATCAGTTTGTGGGTAGCTGGCTATTTGCTTCCATATTCCCAGATATACTGACAAATATTGTTGATCTCCCAACTGCTTGGGTTCTTCAGAAAATTTATTTGCTAAAAAATCGAAGGCCAAAGAAATGCAACTCCATTTGGACCTACTAACTGTAAATGTGGGTTTTCATCGATTTCTCGGTACCTTGAACACTTACGGCTATTTGTGATAATCTAGCTGCTATATGAAAGGTTGTACCTGATAACGATGAAGCCTTTTCATTTTAAGTAGCCTTGGAGAGGGACATCAATGATTGTTACATCTCTTATCTCCTAACCGGCCTTACCCTTCCTTAGAAGACTTATGCCCTATCTTGCTTGATTAAGAGAGCATGTTTATCAGCACCTCAAAATCATACAACCCACACCCTTTTGCATCTGACTTCATAATAAAAGCCCCAAGAGCACCTTCTTTATGGAGTGGACGAGCTCATGATTGTTTCCGAAGATTTGACACAACTTTTCAGGCACCACACCACCAACTGAAACTCGTAACTTGGCTCATCATGTAAGTACCCTCACTCTTGACACCAATAAAAGTTCCTTTGGTGGTACTTCGTGGACCATTAACCCTGGTACCACTAGTCATGTTGCTAAGAACACATACTCTTAGCAGAGTTCAGTTACGCACATATGGGTGAAGTGTCATCTCTTCCAATGTTTCATATTGGCACAACCCAATATCAACTGCTTTTTTAAAAGTTTCAAATACCAATGTTCTTGTGATTCCCAAAACCAACAAGAAATAATAACACTATGGCCTATGACATCCAAATTATTTTGTTATGTGCCAAGACACCAGGAAGCTGATTGCTAAAGGGCTACAGAAAATGGGGCTTTATAATTTAGAGACAATTCGATTTTTGCTCTTACATTGGTCACCCGACATAATCTAGCAACTATGTCTCCTATGGAATTTTGGCACTGTCAATTTGAGGATCCTCATTCCAAGACCCTACAAAGACTTGGAGATGATGACATAATTTTGTTACATACTACACAGCTTAATAGCATAAAGTACTAACTGTCAATTGATGAAAATACTATTTATGAATCTTTATATTTAGTATATCATGATGATTGGGGGCCTTCACCTATGGATTTTATGCATGCATATCATTATTATGTCTCTTTTATTGATCAATGCAGTATAAATACTTGGATTTTATTTGTTAGACATAAATCTGAACTTTTGCATTGGTTTATGTATTTCAAGCAGACTTAGAAATTATTTTGGGAAACCAATTAAAGCTATGAGATCTGACGGTGGGGGAGAATATACATCATATGATTTTCAACATTCATGAATGATGATGGAATCCAACATCGGTTTTCATGTAAGTTTACCCTGCAACAAAATGGAGTCACCAAACAAAAGAATCGTCACATTCGATGCTTGACTCTCATGTTTCTTCCTTCTTGTGGGAAGGCGCTTTCTAACAGAAATCTACCTTATTAATTGCCTCTCTTCCTTGGAACTTTCAGGACTTACGACTTTATGGATTACTCTTGACTGTGTTTATTTGGAGACACATGTTTTGCGCATATTATTGTTTACTTTGCAATGAACTTCAGCTCAAAGCATATCGAGGAGTATTCATTGGTTACAGTCCTGATCATAAGGCTTGTAGATGTTATATTCCATCAACATGTGAATGTGATTACTTATTGCCATGTTACCTTTAATGAGATTAATTCATACAATTCTTCTTCTAATACTGATATGCACTCCTTTCTTTCACATGACCTATTTCAAAGTATAGAATATCTATGCAAGGGGCAGAACATGTAAAGATGAGTGTACCCACCTCTTCCTAACTGGACCTAGTCCCACTAACTCAAATTAAAACTATAGTGGGCTACAAATGGCTTTATAAAGTAAATCTTAAACAAGATGGAAGAGTAAAAAGATTCATCCTAATGGCTAAAGGATAAAATCAAAAGTATGGACTAGACTATGAAGAAACTTTCAGTAACCATGATTAAAGCCACAACCATAAGAACTATTACTGCTCTGGGGGTCATAAATGGATGGGGAGCTCAATCAAATGAATATCCAAAATCCTCCATATAATATTAAAGCAAAAGGTTACATGGCACAATCTCCTTTAGTCAACAACATATGCAAAAACCAAGATAGCCACACCTTGAGGCTCTAAAGACAATATGGGGGCATATAGAGGGAACTCTAATCTTCTGTGTCTTACAGGGTATGCTTGAACTAGCAACTTTCTCTTATGCCAACTTAGCAAACTCCAAATGATAGAAGATCAGCTGAGCTGGCTGTTGTATATTTTAAAGAAATCTTGTATCATGGAGTAGCAAAAAGTAGAAACTACGGCCAAATCAAGAACTGAAGTAAAATATAAACTTTTCTCTTGTAACTTAAAAATTGACATGGGTCTACAATTTATATTCAGAAATAGGCATTCAGCTAGAGAAACCAACAAAGATCCATTATAATAACCAAAAGTGCTATAAAGATATCAAACAATCCAGTAAAACATGGGAAGATCAAACATCTAGGTGTGTTGATCATCACTAAATAAGAGATGGTCCATGATAATGAAATCGTTGTTGAACACATACAAATTTCAAATCAATTTGCAGATTTTATTTTTTAAATCAAGTTGCAGATATTATAACTGAAGCTCTCACTAAAGAAATTCTCGTGACAAAGACAAGTTTTCCATGTTATAATGTCAATTAGAGGGGAGTAGTAGGACATATGTAACATACAAGTGATGTACATATGTATAAGTCTATTGTTTGGCATTGTATGATTTGTTTAAGGGTATTATTGTACATTCCCATAATGGGCTCCTTTATGTATCCAAAAACTGGTGACAATGAATGTGATGAGAGTTTAACATTCTTCACCAGAACTTTGAGACTTATGATAGCTAACAATAGTGAAGGACAGCTTCTTTCACTTGGATGACCAACCAAGCAATGAGTACTGATGCTCAATTAATAAAAGCAAACCATCACAGTACTGTGGATATTGATGATTTAAAGCACACGATGGTCACCATCTACAAAGTTCACAGGCCTAATTTGCAACATAGAAGTTTTAACAAATTTGTTTCTAAATCAGACATTTCCTGCCCAATTTATGACAATGAGAACTGGAACTGTTCAATATTTTTTCAATGTAGCTTAAGTAATAACAAAATAGATTCAATGCAAAAATTTGATCTAATTGAATCCCTATAGTTGTATGTTACAAGAAAATCATGCCTCTCTTTCTGAACCTATTTGTGACTATCAATTTGAATGGAACCAAACGAGGCCACCAATGACAAAAGAGCATACCTGGATCCTCACAACGTTTTTACGTAAATTTAGAAACTTTTGGCGCCCCTTCCAACCACGATACTTTTTCTGAATATGAAGTGCAGCATTGTGCAACCCATAGTCTTGGAGGTTGTGAAAGGATCTCGATTTAGCTGATATACATTGAATCTCACTTGGGGTCATCCCATACTCATCTTGAACAGATTCAGCTTCGTGCCGCCTTCTCCTCCTAAAAGAATGAGCACGAAAAGCGGCCTGTATACGCGCCGCTGCCTGAGCTGCATTTCTAACTGCTTCCAAGGAGACTTTAAGCGAGGTATCATCCTCTGCACCAAGAGAAACTGCAGTACTTTTATTTATGACACTTTCAATGGTTTTCTCAGCCTCTACAGCTGCAGATCCTTTGGTAATTTCACATTCAGTTAGGGTAAGTGATGCAAGGTGGTTGGTTAAATCCATCTCAGAAAGATAGGCAGCAAGTCCTTTGTGACCATAAGTAGCAGCAATGGAAGCCGCAGTTTCTCCAGCCGAGTCACTTGAGGTAGGATCGGTCCGAGCGCCTGGTAATGCCCCAGCAGCTATAAGAGCCGGAACCATCTTTTCCCTGTGAGAGACCACACTATCAGTCAAGATCCTGATTCAAAGGATAAGCGAGTGTGTGCATGTGTGTGTGTCAGTTATGTCCCTTCTCTCTCTCTCTACTCTCGTAGTCGGTAGGAGACGAGACCG